ATTACGGTGGGGAGGGGGGGGGGGTGGCTGAAATGGACATAATGAACCGATCAGAACTGATATATTATAATTCATGCTTCTTATCATTCGTGTGCTTGACCTAAAACCGTACAATCGCTTGGCAAACTGAGTCCAAAGTTTCACATGTGTAATATAGGAAATGGCGAGCTTGCAACCTATTTTGATCAAATTACGGTGGGTGAACTTTCAAAAGTCAATGAGACATGAGGGTTCCAATGAAAGAGCTAGTGATAACGTACGTCGGGGTGGATGTGCTTTTCGTTTAAACAAAAAATGAATTTGTTAACGATTTTTTTGGGGTAATATTCCATAGGTTAACATGTTAGGCTGCTGAGATTCACATGGATATAATGTTCTCTTATTTCAGACATTTATAACTCTCTTGTTATTACCCGCCCAATGCCTCCGCCCACCGAAGGCGATACCAGAGGCATAAGCCGAAATCACAAAGGAGGTTTACATCTAACCTATGGGTTAAACCTGGTTTAGCCAATGATTTAACCAATCGGTTATCATTAACAATTCACAAAGGAGGTTTAGATTACCGAAGAAGATATCTTAAAAACGGTAATAAGTATCGTCTTGCAACGAGAGATAATTACAATTGTTACCATGACACCTGCTGCTCATTACAATTTCTTACGTGTCTCAGTCTTGTCGCTGATTTTGATTAAAAAGTAATCATGCATATTGCACATGTCATGAAAATGTCATTGACGTTGTCATTAATCATGTCATTAATGAAATATAAAGTGTACAATATCCATACAGAAAGAAAGGAAAAAATATATAGATTCTGACGAAATCAATTACTGCTCTGCTACGCTACTATGACCTATTTTCAAATGACTGGTTCAGATGTAACATGCTATCGTTGAATATATATTTCAAACAAAAGTATGTATCATTCCATTCTAAAAGGGAAAGAAAATCCATCAAACACTGACCTGATAAGAATTGGAAATACTGTTATTGATGACAGAACTGAGTCATTAATTTTCTTGGGCGTTCCTATCCATGAGTCACTTGACTGGAAGTATCACATTGCCAATAAGTCTGTTAAGCTTTGTAGAAGTATAGGTGTTTATCCAATCTCAGATATTTTATACCCACCAATCTATATAATTGATAAACTATATATTTTATGAATACGTGCAATACAACTGATAAAAAAGAGTTTTCTTCGTAATCCCAGTCTACCACTTTTTGTGAAATTTAAATTTCTCCAAGAGTTTGAACTTGTAAAACGTAATATATCAGTTTTCATGTTAAAGTATCACAAAGGGATTTCCCCAGTATTTTTTGATATGTTTAGAACTAATTCCTCATTCCATATGTATCACATTCGTACACGGGATAATCTGTGTGTTCCCATTACTCGTTCAACACTATTAAGAACCCTCGTTCTACAGGAGTATACGAATGGAATTCAATTTGTAATAACCTTAAATCCAGCTCCACACATTCTCGTAGTAAACCCTTTTTTCTCTTTCTCATTCTTTCTTCTTCCCTTTGTCCTCTTTCTGATTCTGAACTCTCCCTATTTTGTACTGATCTTGTATCGTGTATTTGTGTGTGATTGTGTGCATATACATATGTGATACCTGCTGATAAATAGTTAATGGTCGGTCCTATTTCTTCTTAATGTACGTATATATACCTAGCATTGTTTTTATTGATTTCGTTATTCAAATAATATTATGTTTACCTTGATAAGGGGCCTCGTGTATACAAGCACAAGTTGCTTCTTAGAGATCCTGGCCTATTATTTATTCTGTATAATATATTATATTTGGAATATTTTTTATGATGCCAAATAAATTGAATTATTCTAGAGGAATACAACCAATATTAATTTGTTGTAACTACGTAGACTTCGTCAGAGGCATTATTCCTTACTCTTTCTCTCTCTCTATCTCTCGCTCTCTGATCCTCTATCTATCTCCCCCTCTCTTACTCTCTCTTTCTCCTTCTCTCCTCCCCTTTTCTCCAATCTCTCTCTCTTTATTTCTCTCTGCCTCTCTCCCCTCATTCTCTCTGACTCTCTCTCTCTTTAAACAAAAAGGATATATTTACCTTTGTATTAGTTCTCTGGCACTTTTGTAGACGCTTTTGATCCCTAGATCATCTGAGGCGACGTCTGCTCTAGAATGAGGAAGGAAAGAACATGAGAGTTCAAAATAACAGGACATAACACCCACCTCGTATCCGACCAAGGCCTACTTTGTGAAAATATGGGGAAGTCCCCAAACCTGATCTCGCAAACAAAATAAATCTTGGCTGCAGGCCTACTTGTACTAGGCAGATGTCCTGATAGTGTGCATACACAAAGCCATGCCAGTCGTTGTGCGTAACAGTGTCTGCACAGCGAGACTAGGCTGGGGCCTGTTTAGTTCCATATCTTACTCACATAATTAATACATCATTACTCGAGTATAAGTTTCCAAATCAATGGAAGAGGTCAAAAGTCATTCCCATTCATAAATCTGGCAACAATAATTCCCCAAATATGTGTCAAGATGTACTTAATGGCCAAATGAGTTATGAAATCATATATCCGACTCATACTCTATCCAAATATGAACAAATAATGGGAATTCTCTAGGCATCCCATAGAGCTATAATGGACTTCTTATAGGCATGTGTTTGCTAATATATGCTATGTATTACACAGATTGCGCGTACGGAGGGTTATCTTGAACGGACGCTTATACCGTTATTAATAGTGATAAAGAGATAGATATGCCTTATTGTTTGAAAAAATATGAGGAATATTCTGTCAAAAATTATAGGGGAGGAATTATTTTGCAACGCGTAAATATGCGTGTTTTGCGCAATTTTTAATGAAATGCTTAACATGGCCTGAAACGTATGCAAACAAAATTTAGGACGAATTTGAGCAATTTAAAATTTAACGCGCGCATGTTTGCGCGCATTTATCGACCTGAAATTGACCGTAAAGATATTGATCTTAATCATGATAAATATGAATGAGAAATCACTTTCCGTTATGAAGATATGATCATAAGTTGATTTTCCCAAAATGGCGCCTGGATGACGTCCCGATGACCTTGCGTCTTTAAAAAGTCACGCAGTTCTAAGTTAGACTAAGATCTATCATCGTGGCAAGTTTCATGCTAATGGCTTTATTCAGTCTTGAGATATCCTGCGAACAAATTCGCGGAAGAATAATAAAAATAAGTGGAAAGAAAATCTTGACGAAATCAATAGTTGAAAGGTATACTTCGTACGTATCACCTAAAAAAGAGAAAAAAGTTTGATTCTGACTAATTCAATTAAGGCTCTGCTACGCTACGCGGTAGATCACCTAAAAATAAGCTTCAAAAGACGTGAATGTAGACCCAGCGAATTATTGGACCGCATTTTATTAATTCAGTTAAACCCGACCCTGGGTCTCATAAAAGGAAAACTTAGAGCGCAGACTACCTTCTAATTATTTTGAACAAAAGCAGAAACTCATCGTCGGTTTTAAATGTTCAAATGTTCGGTGAACACGGGCCATAGCGTGCTCCAGATGTTCGCAAAAGGTCTGGGGGACGTTAAAACCTTCCAAGGGAAGTCCCCCCTGATATAAAGTGGGTGTTTATAGAAGCAGAGAAATAAGAGAAACAGGTCAATGACAGTTTGAGCAAATTCCGATTAATATTAGAAAGTCTATCTCTAATTTATATATTTACGCGTGTATATAACCCATTCATACACTTTTGAAATTTGGGTGTCAAGCTTTTAACACAGGCGCGGATTCAGGCGGGGGGGGGGGGGGGGGGGGGGGGGGGGGGGGGGAGGGGGGCCAGCCGGTCCATGCCCCCACCCTTTAGTGGCTAATAGAGATAAAGAAAGAAAGAAAAAAAAAGAGAAGGTTAGAGCATTCGTACTGCGCTGCCCATCATCCAGTGGCGTAGGCGTAGGCACCCTACCTTTCAGCCGGAACGCTAATATATTTTTTCCAAGGATAGTTCCGCACCCCAGTATGAACTAATTTGCATACAATCAGAAGATTCTAGCTAGCTAGCTAGATCTGTGCATGGTACATGGTAACCGTTAGGGTTAGTGACAGGGTTATAATGATCATGCAAACCTTTCATTTACCCATTGTTAGCTCAATCGGTAAGGACAGCGTAATACGACGATAGAGTTGTGGGTTCGAATCTCAGTATTTATTCAGATTTGTGTTTTGCCTTTATAAATAGTGAGGCAAAACAATTAATAATCAAAGTGGATTTGTTTGTGTCCTCTTTCCAAGCTGCTAATGACGTAAAACGTATCAGCAAATTAGATCTGAAACTCACGTGGGAAAAATGACGCCATTGCCATCATAATAGCTGAGCGTTGCTGTACCGAAAGTTGTGCAAAAGTAAAAGTCCGTTCATTCCACAGAATTGGAGGGGGGGGGGGGGAGACAATGAATGCACAATGATGATGCTCTGTGGTTTATTTATTTCTATGTATGTTATTTATTTTTATTTTTTTATTGAGAATGAAAATTAAGACTGAATTGAGTGTATAGAGTCAATCAGTGGAGCCAGACGTAGTTTCGGTGGAACAACCGTCGATATATCAGAGACTAAAACTTTTACAATATACGTATGAGCACATCAAATTTGCTGAATCAGTAATGCACTGTGACAAAGTGTCAGAAAACATAGCCTTTTGTCTTTTATTTTTATAGTACCTATGACGGTGTGCTATCCATATTTAATTGTGAGTAGTGTCCCAATGGAGAATTAGTAGGGGAATTATTTTTGATACCCAACAAACGGAAGGTTATCAACAGACTACGTCACAATCCGCTGACCAATTTGCTAATTTGAGATTCACATTGAGCGATCTCTTATTTTAGACATTGAAAACTGTCTTATCATTTGACTGATTTTGTTTTAACTTTCACCAGTCTCCTTTTATTCATATGCCTTCACCCACCGAAGGTGGTGCCTGTGGCATTTGGCCGAATTCACAAAGGAGGTTTAAATCTAACCCATGGGTTAAATCCGGTTTAGACCACGGGTTAACCCATTTGTTATCATTTTGCAATTTAGAAAGGCGGTTTAGATTAGAATCGTCTTGCGGGAGATAATTACAATGGTTACCATGGCTGCTTATTACAAGCTCTTACAAGTCTCAGTGTTTTTGCTGATTTGGACGCCATGGCCGCGATTAGGTGAGTAGGCTTACCTTTACCCACAGTTTAACTATTGAGACAAACATTACGAATCAGGCATTGTCTTTGGTATTGACTATTGCAGGGAGGAATGCACAGACTGTGTTGTGTAAACTGATTCTTCATACCCCTTGTAAATTTGATGTTTTTATGTGGTTTTCGCATCTCAACAATGAAAAGTAAAGGATTTTAATTAGGTCCTTTGTTGAATACTTTTAGATGTAAGCCTTAATATGTCACATTCTAAAGAAAAATAAAAATGGGAACAAATCAATTATTCACATACAAGTAATCAAAAATACACAAAACTTGTTGATTAGGTTATGAATAATTTAGCTTGAATTGTAAATGCAGGAAGTCCATATGTACTCACATTGAATTGACTTGAAGTGGTATAAAATGTCTGTTAACAAGTAAAGGAGTTAAGTTTTTCTTTAAATGGACATGGTTCATTAGTGAAAGTATCCTGTTGGGCAAGTCTGACACTACATGTACTATAATAATTGAAAATAATTGGACATGTAGGCTACATGTACATTAAAAACATGCTACCTCAAATTTTTTTTGAGAGTATGGGGTCTAAAGTTGTGGACTTGTGTCATAATGTTAAATTACCTCCATAGTTCTAGGTAACCAGATTGGTTAACTTTGTTATATTAACATTAGACAATTCTAAAAATTCCTCAATATGTAATATGTAACATACATGTTTTACCATGAAAAGTGTGTAGTTTATTTTGTGGGTCAAATACTAAACAATAACTTCTCCCTTCTTTCTCTTTCTACTCAACAGTTGCAGATGCCTGGTCACTCACGATATCAGCGCCCGACAATTTATCCGCGAAAGAAGGAGAAACAGTAACACTAGTGTGCACATATCAGCCAGAGACAGATGAGATAACCTTTGCCTCACTCTCTTGGCAAATGGGAGATACTGTGTTAGCGTCCGTCAATTGCCCCAGCGCTTGTAGCAGAACAAACACAAATAGGGACCGGTATTCGCTGGACGTTGACTTTACATCGAGTGGTAATTTAACCATCACGGGTGTCTCATTGACCGATGATAATGTTTATACGTGTAGGGTCTCTACTTTCTATGGAAATGCTGAGAGCTCTTCCAGCCTCGTAGTAATTGGTGAGTGTTTCATTTGTTTTGTATATATCTATTCCTTTAATTTAAACAGGGTAACTCTCTCAGTATAAAAACTCTTTCCTGAGAGGTCCTGTACAGATTATAGGTTACAGATACTAAATAAATAAACAAAGTATGAATACAAACACAATTGTTAAAAACTTTGCAGTCGTAATACAAAATATTAAAATGTAATGATTCTTTGTGCATTATGGATTAAATGGGGAGTGTTTTATGAAATCATCATGAGTGCAAGTTTGCCCAAATTACATTTGTCACGGCCCAGGGGTTTTCTGTGCCTGAATATAAACTCTAGAAGGAAAGCTAAATCAGACTGTCCGTTTAACAGAGAACTGAAGACAAGAAAATAATAAAAGTACAAAGCTAAACAAAGTTTATTTACTGTAACACAATAACAACTGATGTCATCGCGTTAAACTGCAAGTAAAAATGGTAAATATGGTTGAGGCAAAATCAATGAATCATTGGAGAAATCACAGCAACACGTACACACTATAACATTGTCATAACCATTTGAGTTCTCAATGCAGTGCTGCGATTTATAGCAGAGTAAACATAAGACTTCAAGTGTTGCCGGTTTCAACAATTTACTGTTCATTAATTCCGGAAAATTGGGGCCCAATGCGATGCTCCACTCGCGACTGGCCAGTCGATATTTCGTTTGGTTGGGTGGAGGGGTGGGGGGGGGGATGGGGGGTAAGGTCAGCTTTTTGGGTCATTCATTACCACAATCCTTTTTTTTTTATTATTATTTTTATTAAAGGGGGGGGGGGGGTTCCTCCAAACCACACACACAAAAAAAAGTTAAAGGGAGGGGGGGGGGGGGGGGGGGTTCAACCCCCAAAACCAGACATTACTGATTCAACTAACATTAATAGCCCATAGGTACATGTATAGTAATTCATAACTTTATCATTGTTTTGTCCGATTTCATTCAATTTTTCACTAGTCTACTTCTCTGAATTTCTGATTTCCTCTAGAGTAGTTAGCTAACAAGTTTGTATTTATCTTTAGTGCTCATTGTAACCTCAGTGGACTCAAAACCGCTACATGTACAATTGAAATGACTTTAAATGAAACGACCTTTTCTTGCTCTTAGTTCCACCTGTAAGCCTGAAACTATCAGACACTATGACACCGGGAGGCCACGAGCAGGGTGACATCGTCCCCGTCCTATCGGGCGAGTCTTACACCGTCATCTGCGCGACCCAACCTGGCGCCAACCCCCCTGCGGACCTGGAGTGGACCTCGACCACCGCCCAGATCATCCAGGGGGACAAAGAAGACGAGGAAGTGACCGGTAGTAAGCTGACCGCGTCCAGCAAGGAGGTGACGTTCACGCCGTCCATGGCTGACCATCTTACGTCGGTCACTTGCGAAGCGACACATCCAGCTCTGGAATCATCTCTTACCAAGTTTATTCAGCTTGATGTACAAGGTACACAGATTTTAAAAGTTTTTTTTTCAGTTCAGATAGTAGTATACCATTCCGGTAGTGAATGAAAACAAACACCAATTCAAACCAGAGTTAAAGCTTATCTGCCATAGTTTATAGGAGGGATTAGACCGCCCTGCAAGGTCACTGGACAGGTGGTTATCTCATCAACTCAGCTCTCAGTTAACATAAGAAAAAGAGGATCATGGGGGACCAATGGTCACCGATTAGGAATTGTTTGTTATATAGAGGGCGCAAGTAGTGCAGTGGGCCTTTAAGGCCTGTTCAGATATGGCCCGGTAAAGTCGCCCGGATGTTGTACATGGAATTGAATGGCAACTGCGCACAACAAAAGACCTGCGTGTCTTGGTAGGGAGCTCTGTGTTATAGTTTACCGAAATGTGAAGCGTACGTAAACTTGATGTCATGAAAAAACCGTCGCATCAACTGCCGCATCATATCTGAACGAGCCTTTACCCAGAATAATGCAATGAAATATCTGACAAACGATTTGGGTGATTGTATCAAAAGAGCTTTCAATGTACAGGTTGAGCAACATACACAAAATAATAATTGATCTTGTTGTCCAACCTTGTGTCAACCAATGGAACTTGTAGTTTCAGTAAATCTGATTTCCAGCAAGTTTTTTTATTTTTTAAAATTTTGCTTAACCAAGAATCAAGAATTTCTTTTATCCAGTTCTTGAATGTAACTCCTTTACCACAACTCAAATCAGCTTATGTATTTGGTTGCCTATTAATAATTAGGTTCCAAAGACGGAATTGAAATTGTGAAGGGAAAATACTTCATTTGTGTACTTTACCTAGTTTAAATTGTACATTACTGTTAGATAGCACTTTAAATTATAAATGTTATACATGTATATGGATAGCATCCTGATCATTATCATTCATAATATCCTCCTTTCACCCAGTTCCTCCACGGAATGTGAACATCGCTTTACAATCCGCAACCCTCTATGACGGCGGGACCCTGACGCTACAGGAAGGAACCCCAAGCACCATCACATGTGAAAGCCTCGGAACAAGACCAGCCTCTGCAATCACATGGTACCTCGATGGCGTCCAAGTATCATCTGGGGTCGGCAGACCAGAATTTTCCCCCAATGTGGACGACAGTCGTTTACAGGATGCGTCCAGCAGCATCGTCATCCAACCTACCAAGGCGCAGCACGAGCAGGTTCTACGTTGCCAGGCAACCACGTTCGGCATCAGCCATGATACCAGTATCCGACTGTCTGTTGATGGTAGGAGGATTTTTATTTTTTAAGAGACTTTTTTTTTTATAAATGGGAGGGAAAGAAAGCATTCCTGTACACAATGCAAAACGAGCAAGGAGAATCTCAAGAGGCCTACCAATTGGATTGGCCTGTTATGGAATCTCCTTATTGTATGTATCACCCGCTATGAACAATTATCCGTTGATACCTGAAGTGGCTTTGGCTATTTAAAATTTAAAAAAAAAATGAAATATACCCATCCCCACGAAGCTGGAGCTACAAAATTAGCTGGCTCAATCAAAGGCGCATAATTATTATATGCAGGTCACAAGAAACAAATGAATCGTGCGATGTCTTTTGCAATTTCGGGTGGAAGATAAAAACTCAATAAGTCTGAAAATATTTCGCGATGTTTAATTCTGTTCAATATGCAGCCTGACAGAGCCTGCAAAAGGGATGAGGCAGGGTCTGAAATCACGCAATAGCTTGACAACTGCTACATTTCGTTTTGTATTTTGGACATTTAAAAGCGTTTTTTGTGAGTACTGTAACGAAACCGGAGCTCTGTCAAATACTCCCCAGCAGCTTATCTTGTCAGGATGCCTTCTGCTGGTATGTTTGCCTAGTCCGGTACCAATTTCGCCGTGGATCCGTTTTGGCAGAGATATACTGCCCCGTTGACCTTGCACCACCTCTCGACCACCGTCCAGTCGACACTACCAGACCGTTTACAGGTCTGTACTTCACCACCGTCTTCTACCAACCGTTGTACCGTCGTGTACCACCAGCCGACTAAACCAGTCCGCTTCTGCACCTTTCAAACGTCTATACTAGTCTGCTTGTGCATGCAACTCCAATTGGCCGCACCAGTTTGCTTCATGCACGCACCTTCAAACAACCAGACCGTCTGTCTTTGTACAGTCAGCTTACTCGACCATGCCACTGGCTCTGCTACGCAGTAAGTCCCTACCAGCCGTCTACACCAGACCACCGAAAGAGCAATCCCTGGTATCGTCTAATGCTAGAACGCAAAAGACCCAACAAACACAGCCTAGATTCTAACCATGATCGTCACCTAAGATCAGAAATCAATCTTAGGCTTCCTCATGGAAAGACATGCAAACGATCATCTCAATCATTTCGTTGCACGCAATACTTTATTGGGCAAATATCCAAACATAGCCTAATTGCCTTACAGTGTAAGTGTGCCAAGTGGGCGACGGCAATTATGTAGACTATGACAGGAAGCTCGTTTACACGGATGACACTTGATTTATATACACATTTCTTAAATATTTGTTATTCTCGTTAGGTTTCCAAGAATTACATAAACATTGATATAACTTCACTTTCCAATATCAGATTGAAACAAACCATATATCAAATGAAAGCACTAGTTTTAATCTATAAAACTAAACAGAAGAAAAGAAGTAATTATTCATGGTAGAAAAGTAATTAGACTAAAACTGTCGAAAACATGCACGATCAAACATTCTTGAAATTGACACGTGACTATAGCATCGTTTATTTAACTTGAATTACGCCATCTACGCCGAAATAGCTATCTACGAAATGAAACCAATTTCGTGACACAACTCCCTTATTTTCCTTAGCTCGGTCCCCGAGCGATATCTAACAACAATTTACAAACTGCATATAACACATTTACAGAAAATAACGTCCATGGGCATCTAGGTATCCTTCCCACCGGAACCAGCGGTTCTAAGTTCAAGCAGTACTGACTGAATTCTTTAACGAGACCTATCAGTGTCAGTTTGAGTTTCAGCATTCTTACTAGCAATTTCAGTCCACTCACTAGCCCATGCAGTCTCCGACGCCATTTTCCTAGATGAATATCGCAAGTCAAGTGGTGAAGGGGACCTTTCGTCGTTATCCAACTCTTCTTCTGGTTCGGGCGTAGATTGTCGGCTATGTCGAGGGGAAGCTTCCGTTCCATCATGCTGTGGAGACTCCGGGGTCTTTTGACATGACGATTTCGTCAGGTCTCTTTGGGGCGATTTGGATTTTCGTCGCGATGAGCGGTAACGACGTGGTGACCTCCCTCGAGGTCGGTCCAATCTTGGATCATCACGTGGCGGCGACCGCCAGTCCATTCTTACATGACGCCACGATGCATCAGCTTTTTCAGAGGTCCCTGTTATTGGCGGGGAAGTGGGTTTGCATCTTGGCGAAGAAACAGGTGTTAAGCTGTGTTTTCTCACGGGAACCACAGCTACATCGTGGGCTCCCTGATGCCGCTCCATCTCCGTCTTCCTACCCGTGCGATAATCGCATTGGTCGCAACGATACTTCAGGATATGCACTTCCCGCTTGTGTCTTTGCAAAGAGTCTTTCTTCTCATAACTTTTGGTACAAGAGTCACATTGAAAGAAGTGGGTAGTCGTACGTCGGGCATCAACGTCCTTGTCTCCCTGCTTGTCGGGTGGCATGTTTCTGCTTGCACTGGTTTCAATGGGCATCGTCTGATTGCACATTTCTGTGCTCACTTCTTCCAGCGCTGAGAATGAGGCAATGGCAGTGCCTGCCTTTATGATCCCCTGTTCCCTTGTTGGATTGAACACCCTGACAGGCAACACATCTCCATCTGCCTTCACGACAGATCTGGCAACGGTGGGTCCCTTTTTCCGTAATTCGGTTGGGTTCACAGGAGATTCTACCAGTCCTTCACAAAGTGCTACCTTTTTACCTGTTACTCTGTCTGCTAGCACAATTTCGTGTCCTGGAGGAATTGAGTATTCCTTCCCCGCTACTATCCTTCTGCAGAATGATTCTCCTCCACTATCTAGGCATGGAATTATGCCCCACTCGGTCCTCAATTCCATCTTCTGGCAGTCAAGTACGGCATTAATTTGAACTAGGAAATCTAGCCCGAGAATGCCTTCGTTCTTGAGGCTGGCCACAGTAACCATTGTAGTGACAAGTGAATCTCCGATCTGCACTTCCAGCCTTGATTTACCTCTGGTCCTCAACGGGGTTCCATCTGCTTGTAGTATCACGCTGGTCACTGGTAATAACTCAGGTCTTCTATTATCCTCTATCCGGTCAAACACCTTATCTGAAATCAAAGTGTTGGTGGCTCCGGTGTCGATCAGTAATTTCAAGGACTGTCCATTGATTTTCCCTTCCAGGAAAAGTCCTTTCCTGTTAGGATCCTGAGACGAACCAACTCTGGTCTGCTCCTCTTCATCTGTCATCCCATTTGCAGTTGCCCACTGCAAGTTTGTATTTGCTTTCTCTGCTGCTGCTGGTGCTGTTCCTCCCTTAACTTTCCTAGGATAAGGACATTGGTTCCTCCAGTGTCCCAATTCATTACAGTTGAAACACCGGTTATCTTCCCGTTCCGAGACTTTAGTTGGCTTGGTTTGTTCCGGTCTCCTATCTGGTACATCTGGTTTAATCGTATTCCTCCCATTTCTCATGTCTAAGGCATCTAATACCTTCTTTACTATCTCATCGATAGTAGGATTCCTTGGTTGCTGTTCTCGGATGGCTGAAACCTCACACTCTTCCAGTGCTCGACTGTACGTGGTTGAACGCTTCACTTCGTTTCTCTGACCCTCCATCCTCAGGAAGGCCTCTGTATTTAAAGCTGCTTCCATGGCATCATCAAGCGTGCGAGGTTGAGCACGGAACAATCCTTCTCTTATTTCTGGTGTTACTACGGCATCCAGAAAATGCCCACGGGCTAGTCGGTCTTGTCCTTTTTCATCGAACTCGGGGTAGGACAATGCACACAGCTCCCGTATCGTTTGTCCTAATTCCTGGAGACTTTCCTTTGGTTGCCGACGACGCTGTCGCAACTCTGCTAGGTATACCTCAGCTTTACCTCCAAGACCAAACCGGTTCATGAGTCTGTATACCAACTCGTCGTATGTCAAATCCACTCCAGGCTGTTGGGTTAACAACTTCACAGCAGATCCTCTCAAACTTGCAGCAAGAAACTGCACTGCTTCTACTTTGGTCCATCTGTTTACTCCAGCACATGCCTCAAAATGGTGCAAGTAATCCTCGACAGGACTGCGACCGTCAAATCTGTCTGGTACCATATGGGGTCGTCTGCCGATTAATGCATCATTTGCCCTCCCCACATCATGCATAGATGGAGAGAAAAGCGGTGGTGTAATATGAACTCCAGTTCCTGCACTGGGCAGCCGTCTACTTTGTTCTCGGGGGGTTGAACTAAATCTAACGCCCGCTGTGCCGCTGGCATCTGTGAATCTGCAGTTGGTCCTGATGCAGTTTGTCTACTCAGAGTTGGGGGAAATGCTTCCTGGCGGCCTGGTTCTGGGTCTGCAACTGGTGCTTGACTCATCGAAGCACGTAGTTGCTCCATCATTTGATCTACTTCTGTCATACTCCTTTCTAAGTGCTTCATCATTTCCCCTGGCGTTGGTCGATTCTGCCTATTTCTTCCTTGTGCCATTGTCACGGGATCCCACTTCTGACACCACATGTAACGAAACCGGAGCTCTGTCAAATACTCCCCAGCAGCTTATCTTGTCAGGATGCCTTCTGCTGGTATGTTTGCCTAGTCCGGTACCAATTTCGCCGTGGATCCGTTTTGGCAGAGATATACTGCCCCGTTGACCTTGCACCACCTCTCGACCACCGTCCAGTCGACACTACCAGACCGTTTACAGGTCTGTACTTCACCACCGTCTTCTACCAACCGTTGTACCGTCGTGTACCACCAGCCGACTAAACCAGTCCGCTTCTGCACCTTTCAAACGTCTATACTAGTCTGCTTGTGCATGCAACTCCAATTGGCCGCACCAGTTTGCTTCATGCACGCACCTTCAAACAACCAGACCGTCTGTCTTTGTACAGTCAGCTTACTCGACCATGCCACTGGCTCTGCTACGCAGTAAGTCCCTACCAGCCGTCTACACCAGACCACCGAAAGAGCAATCCCTGGTATCGTCTAATGCTAGAACGCAAAAGACCCAACAAACACAGCCTAGATTCTAACCATGATCGTCACCTAAGATCAGAAATCAATCTTAGGC